AGTTGACTTCTCACTTCAAACTACCATCGCCCCACTGTTTGTCAAATTCGACCCCTTTCACAGTACTCATCTTACCTTTTTCTTATATATATATATATATATATATATATATATATGCGTGGTGCTCCACGTGGTGCTCCCTGGTAACGTATACTCATACGGCAAAAAATCTATAAACGGGTAGTTGACTTCTCACTTCAAACTACCATCGCCCCACTGTTTGTCAAATTCGACCCCTTTCACAGTACTCATCTTACCTTTTTCTTATATATATATATATATATATATATATATATCTTTAAGTGCGAGGCATTTGATAACCTTGTCGAGTGCCTGAAGACATAAACAGTGAATGACAAGATGCTGTCGCTTGGGGAGGTAGATATGAAGTGGTGTCAATAGGCGGCGTTACGAGCGGCCACTGTTTATGCTCCGGGCTTATAACACCACAGCCTATCAGTACAGTTCGAAAGTACCTGCTACTTTTTTCACATATCATCATATAACACCACACAAGCATATATATATATATATATATATACTCGAATATATATATCCATACTCGCTTACTCGTGCACAATATACGCCCCCAAGGTACTTTATCTAAGCTTTGGTCCTTTTACTTCAATTAAATTTTGAGAGCCTTTACCATACGCATTATTCATTCAATAAATGGACTGAAAAGGCAAATTAGGTTTTTAAACATTCATTTAAAGCTTATTATTTTTAGGATAATTATAATTATGTTAAAATGCTGCCAATTATTATTTGTTTATGGTAGCATATTCTTTCACTTTCTTTTCCAATAGAATGCTTATAGTATGGGTTGCATTCGCGTTGATTTATGTTACAACTTCTGCAGAAAAATCAGAAAAGTCTTTGATTCGTTCCAGGAGGGCGGTCATTCCAGTTGACGCAATTCTGTGGTCTTACAATCGAATTCCCTACATCATCGACAAGTTGTACTTCAGTGAGTAGTATTCGAGGTTTATTATTAAATACCTCGTCAAGTTAACTAACATTGACGACATTTTAATAGGTAAGAATGAATTACGCGATCTGCAATCGAGTATTGATGTCTGGAATAGCGAAACCTGCGTAAACTTTGTGCCTTATAGGCGTGGAGATAAGAGTTGGGTTCGTATCACTGACGGCACCAGGTAAATATCTGTGAAAGTAGGTGGATATATTTGATAATTTTCCTTTTTTCCCAATTTCAAACGACCATATAAAATTAATAATAAAAATTTTAAAAATTCCTTGTAAAACACAAAGAGATAAGTGGAACATGAGGAGTTAATTATCGTTGGATTTAAATTTTAAATGCATTTTTTTGCCTTTTTATTAAATTAGCAAAGAGATCTATATATTTTGCACATTTTTAATTTCTGAATTTGGAATTTCAGGAATCAGTTGTAATTTGGTATTCTAACCTCGCATAGTTAGCTCTAAGCGTCCCCCCCCCCCTACGGAAATGGATGCCGGTTATTCAGAGAGTTGTAAAAGTATACTCTTTTTTCTCGATCATTATTTCCACGAATCAAAGATCCCTAAATGAGTTGAGATTTTCATGCCTCCCCTGAGAAATCGCAAAGCCTGCTTATCGGTGTTTCGATTAAATAATGAACTACCACTTTTCATTCAATAGTTGCTATTCTCAATACATGGGCTTCAAGGGTGCTCCAGGCGAACAGATTGTTACGCTTTCTAGGAACGGGTGTCGATTTGTAAGTATTTATTAGATACTATATTTTTTTCATGTTTGTTGTCTGTTATTCGGTTTGTTTTACTAATCTTAAGTATGGACTATATCTGCACGAACTGGGTCATGTCATTGGATTAGACCACGAACATGTACGAGCAGATAGAGATGAGTATCTAAATGTTGATACTGATGGCGTTCCAGACGACATGAAATCCTTCTTCACAAGGAAAACCAAAAACCAACTTCTGGCTTTCGACTCACCATACGACCTTCAATCAATCATGCATTATGGACAATCAGTGAGTCAAACTTTGCCCATCGTCTTTCCATCGTTATGTCAACTTTCCTTCATTAGAGATGCTCTTTTTGACTTAGTCGTTTTCAGTTTTTGCTGACAAAACACCAATCGACGTAAAGGATCCCAAGTTACGGCCACTTTTGAAAGATGTTTATGAAAAGGACATCTCATTTTGGGATGTAAGAGCTGTAAATCTTAACTACAACTGCAAAGGTTTGTTTTAAATTACAGTGAAGCCAAATTGCGCTCCATTTCAGAGCAATGCCGCGGTTCAAAACCAAAATGCGAATTTCCAGGATTCATTGATAAAAACTGCAAGTGTCAGACATTGGAAGGTATTTTCATGTCATTTCTAACCCTACTGATTTAAATTCCCAGGTTTTTCGAAGCGACGGTGTATTGATAGTTATGGAGCGTCAAATTGTGCAAGATTAGCAGATCAATTGGAATGCTATCGAAACTCCAGTTTTATGACGGCAAATTGCAGAAAAACTTGCGGATTTTGCTACGTAGCCAAGCTTTCTGACCTGCAGAAGGTTCCACTTGTTGCGTAAGAATTTGTATTTACATGTTATGGCGCCATTCAATAAGGAAGTCAAAAAAATTATCATAGTGATTTATTTTTTCATCTGTTTATATTAATTTATTCACCTTTTACAAAAAAATAAATATGGTTGCGTACCAATTTACCTTAGTGCGCATTATCTTGGTGGCCTGGAATGAGAGGGACGCATTAATGGAACACGCATTTTCCGTTTTGTAGATGCAAGGATCATCATGAGCACTGCAAAGGCTGGTCGAGGGAAGGACAATGCGCTAAAACTGCCAGTTACATGGAAATGATGTGTCCAGAGAGCTGTGGATATTGCAATAAGACGAGAAGTAGCCATTCGGCTAGCAATAGTAGTAATTCAGGGAAGAATGTGGATGAGAACTGCACGGATCGCTATAGATATACGGCAGATTGTGAGGCCTGGGCTAAAGAAGGAAAGTGTGAATCGAACAAGCTTTGGATGCATTTCAGTTGCGCCAAATCCTGCGGTGTTTGTGGACCCTCTACTGGGTATTGTTTCATTCCATATGCACCATCTTTCTATGAAAATAGACGTGGTCTATTGTCTTTGATTTGACATTAAAACAGGAGAAAAGATTTGTTGCAATGTCCTCAATAACTGGTTCAAAATATCTCCAGTTGATAAGGTTTGATTTAAGCCCGTATTTACGTCAGTGACACAGTTCTATGATCCCAGTGGATGCACAAAACAGAAAACAGTCGAGGTTCTCAAATTTAAAGTTGCTCTTCGTGGATGCATTCAGATTGAATCAATTAGTCATTAAATAAATATTAAATCTGAATTTGACGGAGTTTCACTGCTTAGCACTTTTACCATAAAGTAAACAGTAAAAGGCACTATTTACGATTGTACGAGTTATGGTCACTTCCTCAAATTTGTACCTAGCTTGTGAAAATAAGAAGCGTACTTTCTGTTGGTTATTTTTTTCAAATTTTGTCGATTTTTGGTGCTTGCGGTTTGACGTTTATAAATGAATCAAAAGTACAGGGTGATCCACTTACATAATTATTGAATCGTCTATTTTCTGTCTCCACTACATTCTTTCAATAATTTTTAATAATTCTCATGCCAGCTTACTCATGAGAACTTTAGCTGATCGCTACCCCAACAGGTATTGATTTATGCTCACCAATCTCTGTGCCAGGATCTCCTAGTTTGGATTGGCCCCTGTAATTGTTTAAGCTACCTCGGCGATATAGAGGCAACAAACGCATGACGTGAACACGCTTATTTGGGCTGTGTGCGATGTGTGTGAATGCGTGCGTATGTTGAGTTGAGCGGGATTTTGCATGAAGCTTAATCATTAAGTACTGTTCGAGTACAATAGAGTTGAATTGACTATCGATTATTGATTGGTGGAGAAGTCTCTCCACTCGTTACCTCTTATGCTCCCTAACTCAATCAGCATCACTGCATCCGGAATGTTCGAGCGCACATGACGCTGCTTAGTCTAATTCTGTACCTCTAAGTACCGTATTCATATTGAGTGTGGTTTCGTTAATTCTTCCAATTTAGAAATAAAGCATTAATTTAGATATTGTGAGAAATATAGAAAACCCTCTAATAAGTTATTGTGCACCATTAATATTTTTTCATAAATAGTCTATCTGAATCGTAGATACTCTCTACTAATCTAGCAAGTAGTTCGAAATTTTATCGCCTTTTAATTTTTTTAATTTTCATATAATTTCTTAAATATCTTTTCCCAAAGCAGCAATTAGTTCATTTAAAAAGCATTGCTAAAGTGCATCTATATCTCTAACTTAAATCAATTATTACAAGTGTATTATTTGTTGTTATAATATAGGTCTAAAAGGACGACAGTTAAACCAGCTCATGGGATGACAACAACAACTGTTGCCGCTCCCACGACGAAGGCGGACGCTGCAACTCCACCGTGTAAAGACATTTACGGAACAGTGAACTGCCAGAGCCTGGCCGCTCGAAATATGTGCAAATCCCAAAAGTCATGGATGATGAGACAATGCTCTTTGACTTGTGGATTTTGTCACCTCGGAGAAACAACACAAAAACCAATGACGACGACAACAATAAGGAAACCAATTGTGAAGAGTACGAAGTCTTTTGTTTTATTTGTAAAATACACAGGAGATGTCAATAAACCAGTTGATGGTAAAATAAGTTATAGTTGACTAGATATTATTGGCTGATAAAAATATTTTAAAATACTTATTTGTTTATTTATATTTTATAAATTACGTTGTCATAACTGAAACTACTAAAATCTAAGCAACTGTACTTGTGCCTTACCATTCGTAACGTTCTTATCTAAGAGCCTATGACAACGCTGACTACCACTACTGCTCATCCAATGACCACACAACTCATTAAAACAAAAAATACCACCAATTCGACTGAATTTCGCAGGGAGAGGATCGAGGTTGCCAATGCGACAGTACAATATCTGGAATATTGTAAGATTGGCGATCCACCGGGAAAATGTCCAAAATACAGAGCCAATTGTAGAACCGCTGAAAGCTTTCGAGAGTGCCCCAATATATGCAAAAATTGTGGTAGGTGACCGATTGCCTTCTGTAAGGTTAATTTTCATTGCATTTAGGATACATATATATTGAAATAACATTGGCCAGCAGAGTTACTAATAACTGAATTGGAATTGAGTTAGAATTTGACAATATCCTAAGCGGAATTCATAAAATTAAGTGAAAAAAGTAATTTTCCGATAATAGCGGTCCCATAGTGATGGCTCGAAATGAATTCTCCGTACCGTTCAATTCCTAAGTAAAATGACAACCTATGTAATACTTCTATCTTTTCATACTAGCACCGTCAAGGAACTACTAGTCTTCATTATTATTTACTAAATGTCCGATCAATTGTAGGCATACATCAATATTCCAGTAGTGGTCTAGATTATATTAGATGTCACCATTCATCGTATGAGAGGCTTCGGAATTGGGATCGACAAAAATATGAGATCCATCACAACAAACTAGAACTTAGTCCAGTGAGGTGGTACTGAATGTGGCCTAAAAGATGACAATTTCTAATAACATTTTTTCAAATGGCAGGCATTTTGAAAGTTATCATTAGCCCTTTAGCTGACTTCGGGCTTCACAGAAGGGAGGAACATTAAAGTGAAAAAAATTCGACAGGGGAAAAGAAGAGCGATTAACAGATGTAAAAAGACAGAGAGACATAAAGGCAGAGAAAAGGCTAGATGAGTACTGTGAAGGGGTCGAATATAACATACCGTGGGGTCATTGTAGTTTTAAACTTAAACTTAATTCAATAGCTATATGTTCTATATGTTATTATTCAATATTGTGTTTGCCTTGAATTTACCGTAGTTTTCCTTTATATTCACTTTAGACCCATGTGAAGACTATTCAAAGAATTGTGCAGTATTGAAAAAGAGTGGTTACTGCAAATATTACCCAGCTTCGACAATTCCAATTTGCAGGAAGACTTGTGGTGTCTGTTCTTAACGATCAACCTGGAATTGATGTCTTATTTCTGGACGTTATATTAGACTTAATTTGTTAATTGGTTGGTTAAATTTTACTTCAAAAATAGCGTTTATGTTAAAATAGTGTTGTTTTCAACTGGTACAAATTACGAAAATTACATGTTAATAGTTTAGAGAAAAGAGTAGACGACGGATATTTAGATTTTGATATTCTTGGAGAATAAATTTTGCAGGCATATTAGACATTTAACTTGTACGCAAAGGTTATATTAACAAACATTAAATTCCATATGATACCAACACCTGTTCTCCACGCTTTGCGAAATAATAACCCAAGAGAACAACAGGAAATTCGATTCTGAAATAAAACCCCGGTTATCTAACACTGAATAACAAGGGAGCAGTCATTTATCAGAATTTATCGAGTGATAGATATAAGCTAGTAACTACGTGAGTGATTGTCAGGGTCGATTATTTTTGGTTTGGGGTGTGCGATAGACTAACCTCCACGTGGTGCACCCT